TTGAAAACCGAATCTGGACTATGCAAATGGATCAATGATTTTCAAAAGCTTTTGAGAGAATTAATCTGCTCTGTGAATACCACGTAACAATTCATTGATATTCCAGTTTGATAGGTTTAGCTCATCTGTCCCTGTACTTACAAATAAATCTATGCAATTTTACTAGCACGACTTAATTTTACACTTAGAATAATAATCGTTGCTTTTAATATAGCACCTTATAGTTGTCGAAATGTCTCAAAAAGTACCAGAGTTTTACTGTAAAGTTTAGTGACTGTTTGTAGGCAAACACTGGATCCAATGTATTTGTAGGCGAATGCAGCAACACACACAGGTGAATGCAATAATCTCATGATGGTCATAATTTAACTTGTATTGAATTTATTTATTAGCACAAGGTCACTGAACCGTTAACCTTACTGAACACAGAGCAGCAACGACCCCACATCAACAAATTTGGAACGTGGGAGTTCACTGAGCAGCGCAACATCTAAAGAACCCAAATGTCATGTCGGATTTTAAACATTTGGTTACTTGGGACACCAAACCAAGAGAGACCCTCGAAGCCCGGGACAACCACGTCATTACTCCAGAAAAGGAGAAAACACGAAACCTCTAAAAATGTAATGTTACCTCCCCCACAAAACATGCAGCCCCTAAATTTTTTAAATATATTTCCCTTCACTCAATATGTAATGCTTCACAGATGCAGCATTTGCTGTGGTACTCTGTGTTTGGTATTGATAAGCTCCATTATGAAGATTGCAAGATGTGTGATCTGACTGTTGATGGACCTCCCAGCTGTTTCTTCCTCCCCAGTTCAGCTCTGGACGCAATGTAACACACAATGGTAATAAAACCTAGTCTGTGATTATTACACTTAGCCAAAGGCTAATAATGTGATTACAAAATGAAGGATGTGTCAGAAATAAGGCTACTTTGGGGGGGGGGGGAAATACAGATGCAATAAATATCAAACACTGAACATACCGTCACAGTGTACTGAAGGACTTGTAGAAGCAAATAAAATGTTGAATTAGATCCATAAAATAAAAGTCTGAAAGAGTGTCAGCAACACTCTATAAAGCATCAGTGAGGCCACACAGTGTGATCACTAGGCTTACAAAAAGACAGAGGAGGTGGACAGAATTCAAAGAGCAACACCAATCATTTTTGGTTTTAAATCATTAGAATACGAATTCTAAGAGAAGTAAATCTACTCCTATTTTGGCAAAGATTACAGAGAACGTGATCCAAGTTTTTGTTAAAAATAACAAGAGGAATTGATAATTCAGATAAACGTTTTGTGCACAACCAGGCAAAGAAACCCAAAGGACATGATTAGAAATGAAAAGAGATAAACTTAAGCCAGAAACTTGTTCACACTTAAGATTTGCCATTATTAGTAGCGTCACTCACTAATTCTAACCTGAAGTGCCCAGAGGCTACATGTGGTCCACATAGATTTAGAAGCATTAAGCTATCCCTTATAACTGTACTAGGATTCTTTGAAGAGGAAACTAAACTGGTGGTTGAAGAACATCCAATGGAAATGATTTACTTGGATCTTCAAAAGACATTTGACAACAGTTCCATCTGCAAGCCTCTTGAAGCATTCATATTAATGGTATATTACTTGCTATATAAATACAAGTTGTTGTTGTTCAAACCTCATGTCAGAACTTTGAGCTCACAGTCTAGACTGATCTTTCCATGGAGTGCTTTGGTAGTGTTGCAATCTGAATGCCGACATTCAGATGAGACTTTCAACCGAGGACCAGTATGCCTTATCAAGTGGACGTTAAAGATCCCCTGGCACTGTTTGAAGTGAATGGGGTTTCTGCTAGTGTACTTGCTGACAATCCTCCAGATAAATTGGTCATTCACTTCATGGCTGTTTATGGAACATTGCTCTGAGCAAATTCGCTATCAAATTCACCTAAAAATACACAGTCACTGTACAAAAAGTTTGTGAAGCTCTTTTGAGATATTTCCAACATTATAGGCACTATATAAAATTAAGGGATTATTATTTATTGTTACGCTTACCTCCTAATAGAGTTTCAGTTTCATTGCATGGGAGCAGAGGAGAGTGATCACATTGAATCCTAACTCTGGTAGCATCTCAAGGGTATGTAAGTCATGAAAATTAGAAATCCTTAGTTCATTGAGTGCTTCACAGTCAACCAATGGCACAATGGAAGGTGGTTACATTCAACCACTGAGCCCAAATGAAAAAAAACATTGGAATCCACTCACTGTGATGATTTCTTTCCTTTATTTTATTTTGTTGGGAATGTGTTAAGTGTTGGGAATGCAATATAGATTTTCCACTGTTGGCAGCAATCAAGTACTCAAAGGACAGAGTGCACACATCAGATCCACAACAAAGTGGGCTCTAATTTTGCCAAGTTGAGTTGCACCGAGCTGAGTTGGCTAAACATGCATAGGACCCTTACAAGGGATACAGAAAGAGCTTTCATGCCATCTTGTAGATTAACCCAGGACATTGTCAAAAAATTATCACTTTATCACTTGTCTACCTCGAACAGCAACTTGAGCCCAACAGTGAACCATCAGTGGAAAATGAGGCCAGTAAGTATCAAGTATGCTGCTTTGACTCCGCATCTTGAACAGAGTGACTTCCCATTGGAAAAAGTCATGCTGGTTGCACACTGTGTGTTATCATGGCTGCTATTACTGTTGTTGCTTAATATCCGCGCGGGGAGAGAGGTGGGCGTGGTGGGAGAGAGAAAGGACTCGTCACCAGGATTATAGGTGCTTTAAAATGACACATGTACAAGCTGCTCGCGAGTTCGATTGAACCTTCACAGAAAGGGCCCTGCCGTGCAATCAGGGTGGTTCCTGTAACAATGGGAGCGAAAGCCACTGCCCACAGACAAGTAGCGTTGAATAGCGTTCAGTTCAGTTCCAAGCGTCAATTCACATTTGAAACTGGACTCTCCCTTCCTCCTCACCCCCTGGGAGTTGCCAATCTAGGTCAGGCTGCCAGCCCAGCCCAGCCCAGCCCAGCCCAGCACTGAAACATGCCCACCGGGAGATGACCTCAGTGAACAGCTGGAGCTCCACCTTGTGGCTCAGGTGAGAAAGGATTATCTTTGCGGCACAGGTGCCGGGTGGGAGGAGGCGATAGATTAATACTTTACAATAAACACTAAATGCTTTTCTTCAACGTGTGCGAAAAAAAAATGGAAGGGAACGTGGAAGAATGCAGCCTTTCGATTTCGACTCTTTAAAAAAGGAATTTTTTGTGGCGTTGAATTACGGCTTTTATCACGTCGCTGGCTGGTGAAACTAATCATTCACCTCAATGGAACGTGCAAACAATGAAGAACCCGCCGTCACGACGGGAGATGACATGCAGGATATGTGCACGTGTAACACCATTTATATTTCGCTGATGAAGATAGCGTTGCTTACAATGGCTGTACTCTCTGGAGCATTGTGATAACAGTGGTGCCATGCTGCTTATTTCACCAGGTAATTTTTTTTTGGGGGGGGGGGCAAAAAAGCCCCACAACATTCAAGGCAGCAGGTTCCCAGGCACCGCTCTCTTTCGTGAACTACAGTACATGCTCAGGGCAGAACAAGATAAAACGGCTAAGAAGTAAAGTAAAAGCCTGTACTCACTCTGTACCAGTTTATTCTCTCTGCGTCCAACTGAGTTTCCCTGCCTCTGGGCTCATTTCTTTCTGACCTGCCCGCTGCCCTCTTTTTAATTTAGTTTGTCCTTCTTGCTTCCTCTCTCAAGATGCTGCCTCGTGCTGGGGAGGGTTCCCATCAATCGCTCGTTCTCAAAGTTACTGTGTAAATAATGGTCACTTGGACGACTGTTACTTGAGCAATTACTTGAGTGTTACTTGAGCAATTACTAATAAATCGCAATTTTTGAGCAATTATTAATAAATGAAAAGAAAATCAGAAAAGGATCAGCAAGGTTTAAGTCTCTGTATCGCACCTTTTTTGATTGGCAAGAGAATCATGCTTTGGCAAACAATCTGACGAGATATCATTACCCTGGCCTGGCACTGATACCCTTGTGATGTGTTGAAGGTGATCTTATTTAGTCCTGGTTTACAACTAGAAACAAACTAAGCCCTCCATCTTGTTCATGTACCCAGCCAAATGGCTGACCCAAGGCGTTTAAAATTGCAATTGACCTTGTACCACACCTTAGCATACTCTCACCAAAGCCAGTTTGTTGCCGAATGTGATAGCGGTTTCTTTATTATTCCCATTTGGACACTCAATCTACGACTGTTTGTGGGACACTGCTGTGTGTAATTCGCTGCCGCATTTCGCCCAGAAAATATAGTCAATTTACTTTACAATATATTCTGTGAAGTGCTTTGAGACGTCTCAAAGACATGATGAGGCGCTAACAAGGATTATTATTATCTCTTGTGAGGCTGCTCACGTGGGTGTAAACACAACCTTAAATCTGTTCTCGACTACCATAAAAGTACAAGTTGGCTCCTAAGCTGCGGGGGTACAAACACTGCAATAACTCGGACAGAACTGCCTCTTTGGACTGAAGAAGGATGGATGAGGCAGAAAAGGTGAGGAGGAAAAAAAACATAGCAACATTGTGTACGGCCAGACAATTCTCCTCCTGTTGGCTGCCATGACATTAGAATAGGCGTCAATGCAATAATATTTTGTACAGTCGATTCACAATGGAAATATGAAGGGTAGAGTTTACAATCTTTGGCATGCGGTTGATAAAGACACAAGCATACCTAGGGCTTGGTGAACAATGTAAACATAGGGCATGCTGATAGCCTCAACTTCTGCCACTTCTCATTCATTCATTTTAACCCTTGGGAGGATTCTTGTAACATTATTTCAACGTAAATGGTCTTACAATAAAATGATTATATACATTTTAAAACTATATATTTTTCCATGCATACGACAGAAGAAATTTTATCCCTCTACACACTCTGTCAATTGTAGACAACACTGACAAACACCGGTTATATCACTGAATTGACATCGTTTTATTTTACTTTAAATATTTTTTTCCCCCCCGTCCCAACCCCTACTGGGGTCAGTTCTCCAATACCGCCCGATAATGTCCATCTTTTGTGTCTCAGTAGTGAATGTGCTCAAGCTATATGTCTGTGAGGGTATCACCCCTGAGCCAGAGCCAGTCCCTCATATGATCTGACATTCACACAAACATTCTGAGGAGTGAGAAGGAGGGAGGATTGGAAGAAGTTTGAATTCTGGGCTGCTCTTGTGCATTGACTTGCTGATCAGCTGCACAACATTGTAAAGATCTTAGACCAGATCGATATCCTAACTTGTCAAGCGAGCGGGGAAGATATATGTTGCTGGGATGCACAAGGAAGTGGAAATGGAAATAAACTGTCAAAAGGAGACACCCGGTGTAAAAGGTCACTGTTGCTAGACTGGGAAATAGGAAGTATTTTTCTCAATTCGAAGACCCACTCTAACTCAGTTTTGATTCATCTCTCCAGAGCCGTTCAATCAGGTTATCAGTCCTGAGGTACTTGTAGTTTTCTAATCGTGAACATACCCTGTATTCTCATTACACAGTATTTATTCAGTATTCAAAGAGTCAATTCTTTCAAGATCATCACTCTTCCACAATACTAATTAAGGGCACTTAAAGGAATGCAAATTTACCCCCTGCCCAAAGAAACCCAGCCATCAAGACTGAATCATTTGCTTGCGTGGGTCAAACAAATATCTCTTAAAGGCTAGGATGATCATCACAGGCTGTATGTCAATCTTCCCATCTTCTTCTTTGATCGAATCACCTTTCCCCGATTTGGATTTTTTCTTGGTTGTTGCAGTGAGCGACTGACGAGTATCTGGTCTCAAACAATCTGTGGGATACAAAAAAAAGCTAATTTAAGCAGCGACCAAGCTTCAAAAGGTACAAAATGTGTGTGTGTGTGCCAATTTGGTATGGAATGTGATTTGGAACAGCCTTTCATTTCAACTGGAAAAAAACTATACGAGATCCTAATTGTACACAGCACTTGTCAAATGTGAAATGTGGCCTCTGAACCTGGTCTCAATACTCTCAGGTGAAGGAGGAGGGTGTGAGGAAGCCATTTGGTAACAGTAAATGACAAAACGTCACGTTTCTTCCTTTAGGCTCAGAAATACAGAGACAACCTTGGTGGTATGGACTGGGTGGTTAATCTCTGCAGGGTAATGGTGTTTTTCATATCGTTCATTATAGGCCTTATTTGGGGAGAATCCCTTGAAGTGAGGTTTGCTATGAACTGCAGGACTGGTCACAACAGTGAATTGTCAGAAAAGATAGCTAGAGGCAACTAACTTTTTGTAAGGGAAAGAGGGAGTAAAGTTAGACGACGAGTTAACCTAAACCACTTCATGCACTTTGCAGAATCAGCTCCCTCCCAGCAGCAGGGAGGGAGAGGGAACAGAACGAACAAATCCTTTGAGCAAACAATTAAGAAAAAATGAAGAACAATCCCCACAACTGTTTGGGGACAAAACACAACACCCTTTGTATGAAAGAGAGAGGTTAAAGGTTCAAACGGCTGGGTTATAATGGACGGTGCAGAATTCCGTTTACAGTGGTAAATCCATTTGCATTTCTTGAAGCATCGTTGCAGACATTGTGGGATAATGCGGCGCGAGTCAGCCCTCTAGGTGGAGGATCTGAAATGGAGAGCACCACAAGGCACGGTGCCAAAGCCTTGCTCAGGTATTCTGAATATGTGGTATCACAATGCCTTATCTGGATCACTTAATCAGATTCTTACCCTTATTATAAAAATTCAGATAGGTGGCTAGCATTATGGTCTGACAAATGGGAAAAGTGTCTCAAAGGCCCTGGTGCCAGGAGGTCTACAGATTACGCCGACTCCAACACAGAATGCTCTGCATGTGTAAACCATAGCAGACAGGATCCTTCCTAATCTGGTCGCTTCATCTACCTCTGTGGATTTCTCTGGTTACAGAAAACATACTCTCCACTTCATGAAAATCAAGCAAACAGGTTAAAATATCCCTTTGATCAGAGCAGACAGGGCACATGTATTATGCAGGAAGAAACTGGGGACATTTCTGCACATCTATCCATTCTAATTTCAATCACAATGATAAGTAATAGCCTCTACATTAATGTCTCACAACCATTAGACTGCCTTAACTCTTTGGAAACTGAGTGCTGATGAGGGCAGCAGGGGACAGAGTTGATTCTATTGAAGCAAATGTAATCAATCGCTCTTGAGAACACGGGGGCACTTGGAAAATTTTACATGGACACAACTGCGACAAGCCCCCTTACCAGTAGTTCGTCCTTTCTCCGCCGCCGCCGCCCCCACTCCAAAGACAAATTGCTCTTCAGTGGAACAGAGGCTCTCTGCAGCCTGTATCCCCACCTTTGTTCTACAAACAAATCCCGCTTCAATCTCAAATGTTCTTTCCTTCTCTGAGCTGCCATCTTGCATATTAGCTTTATCAGTAAGTTTAGCTTTTTTAAAAATAAAATGACTTGCTTTGGTACAAGGTCTTACGTTGCAACATGTTGCACAGTGAGCTACTTTGAAATGCACTTTATGTTTCTCTGTCGACAGTTAATCTCCACTAACAATGTCCTACAAAGAGTACTGAGGTGAAGGATGGGTTATTTTGGTGTTGGGAGGTACATTTGCCAGGACACTGGGACAATGTCCTGCTTTTCTTCAAAAAACAAGGACCTCAATTTAATTACTCATCTAAAGAACATCACCTCCAATAAAGCAGGGGAGACAGCACTCCACTCCCTCAGCAAAGTACTGAAGTGTCAGCTGAGAGCATTAGCTCTGGCCCTGGCGAGAGGCTCAAAATTACAACTTAATGATTCACGAGCAAGAATGCCAATAACTGAGCCAAACTGCCACATAATGAAAGCACCTTTCTTCCTATACAGTATCACATAGCAAACCTAGACAAGAGGACAAACGTCATCCCAATCCCAGACCTAATACAAACAATATCACATTCAAATATAGTCACCGGATGTGGACTTGAACGACAGACTGGTCCACTCCACCCCTTCTGTAAGCAAATAGTATGTATAATCGTACTATTCCCTTCCCTGTAGCAGCAAACTGAGAGTGAGAACGCATACAGAATGGAAAATCCGTGCCCAAGTTCTCCAAAACACAATCTACCGGAGTATCAATGCCTCTTGTTGATTCCTCAATAATAATAGTAATCCTTGCATTTGATATAGCGCTTTTCACATCTTCGAGACGTCTCAAAGCGCTTCACTGTAAAGTGAATTGACTGTATATTTTGTGGGCAACACGCGGCAGCCAATTGCGCACAGCAGTGTCCCACAAACAGTCGTAGATTGAGTGACCAAATTATTATTGCTTTTTTCTTGAGGAATTAGGACCAGACTTGTGGAGTAAGGAAACTTGTCCAAGGTTTCGCCCTGCTGGGAATCGAACTCAGGTCTCTCAATTGAACCCAGATCTCTCAATGAACAATAAAGGAGGGAGCTGGGATTAAAAGATCAGCCATGATCTGATAAAATGGCAGAATAGGCTGATTGGCCCCCTAGGGCAAAAAACACCTCTAGCTCAAGTAGTGATTACAGCCCAGAGCAACCGCAGCCCAGATGAGCACAGAGCAAACTTATGACCTTCCTTCCCATTCTCTGGGCTATGCTTCATTCTATTTTTACTACCATTTCATTTCATTGCTTTACCTACTGAGTCATACAGCAATCTTAGCAAGCTAACGCAATACTCTTTTAAGCATTAATGCACCTGTTATATTAAATTCATGACCCAAAATTGTTCTTCATTTGGATTTCATTGTTATATCTGAACGCTCTACACAACTGCGGAACCTGTGCAGTCTGTCCTCTCACTAAGCTCCTTGTTTCTCTGATCAATTCTCTTGAACTTGCCCAAAGATGCTCTCCTTTTCCTGATGTACGGGTTTACAGGCGATGACTGCTCCACTACCCTCACCCAAGCAGCCTTGATGACCCTGACAGAGGAAGTCTAGGAGCAATTTTTCTGAACTTTACCTTTTTTTCCCCCTAAGTACTGTGTGATCAGGTGAAGCAACTCCCAATCTCCCCCCACCCTCCCACCTCCTCCTCACGTCAAGCCAGCTCAAAGCCCTTTTGCAAGCTTGTATGTTATGAAATGCTGTCAACAGCCCGTTGGTTATTTGAATTCTTGCTTTTGTGTGTAGGCCGCCGTCTGACCCACTTAGTTCAGATTAAAAGGCGCTCGCTCACAGTTTGCAGTCGTCGGGTAGCGAATAGCAGATAGTTGGACGAACGCAGTTGTTTCTAAAGATTGTGAACAATCAAACAGGACTCTCACAATAACCTGCTGCCTGGGTACCTGGCGGCAGAACATTGGCCACAATGTAGGTCCAGGCAAAACACCCGCAGCCCCCAAATCAAAAACAAGTAAAGCCCGTATTCCATGCCTGTGGGCCCTTTCTTCTACGCCCGCCCGCATTGCAGCAAGAATTCAAGTCACGTATCAGTGGTGGCCAACAAGTCGCTGTCTGAATGAATTCAGGAGATGCTGGTGGAAATGCTTAAACAAAATGCAGCCAGACAAACATGGGACCTCAGCAACCCTCAGCTGTCAACGTCTAGATTTTAAACCAGGGCCACTCTTGTCTTTTTTGTGTGTGCTGCGTTTTTCATCCAGAATCAATGTTGTAAAAGTAACAGATGAAATTAAAGGAAAAAAAAGGTGGTGGCAGAATGAAAATGCAACAAGACATCAATCAGATATATTTTTGAACCAAAAATGTAAATAAGTTTTGAGAGTTGCTTTGCTTACATTTTTCAATTTGAGGGTTGGAGTGATTGGGGGGGAATCCTTCAACAGTATTTTTATTTTTAAGAAAATAGCTGGTTAAGGTCATTTGGCCTGCAAATACACATCGCCACATTTTACAGTAAATCCTGTGAAGCACTTGGAGACGTTTTGATGAGATGATAATGCGCTATATCAAATGCAAGGATTATTATTATTATTATAAAGAAAAGTGCACAAGACCAGAACAGCTTCCTATTTCGCCTCTACTAACTGTACTTGGCCTTCCGCAAGTACTTTGATAATGGTCAGATGCCCAGGAAGCACATCATTCCTTGTGCATATCTTCAGCAACAACTTGCACTGCTACAGTGTTGTTCACATAGGATAATATCCCAAAGTGCTCGCTTACAAGCATCTAATTTGTGGTAATAACGCAGAAATCATTGAATACAAACTCCTGAAGATATCACAGAATCTGGTGTTCGATACTCATTCAGACAATATGGAACAATTGACTAGGACCAATCGAAGGGGATCAGGAGGTAGAAAAGCAGCAAGCAGGCAGCACTGAGTAGAGGGTTTTTGGTTGGACTGTTTGCGAGCTGAAATAAAAGAGTGTTCTACACATTGTTTGTTGAGAACATAAACATCTGGTGGAAGATATTTTAAAATTATTGTGTTGTATTGTATATGCAATTACATAGCGCCCTTCACACCGGATGGCCTCTCGGAGCGCTCAAATGTCCAGAGTTACAGGACAACAAGTCATTCACCTTTAACAGTGTGGAATAAACCATCCAGCACAGAAGCAGCCTTTGCTCAGTGAAGCGATCATTTCCCTTGTAAACTGTGCAACACGCTCAGCATCAAAGGCATCACAGAAATTGGATGAAATGACGAGATTGGTGTGTGCTTAGGGGCGTGTGTTTGAGGGTGAGCCTCAACTTCTTTCAACTGAATGTTAACAAAACTTGTTCCGCTCTCTGTAGTGTCTCCTCACTTCTGGCTCTGACTAGATTAACCTTCCCGGCTGCTTGCTCCATCCAGCTCCTGCAGTCAGTGGGCAA